CTAAAATATCTACATGATTATTTTTATTATAATGATGTTTATCAGAAATAAGAAACAAAGATAAAAATAAAGGAGAGAGAAGAAGATTGACTGAAATACCTCGTATCAAGCTTTGTTAATGGTGATTCTAGGTGCTTTGTGGCGACCTTTTCACACTACAATACCTCACAAACTCTCAAGAAATACAAGAGAGAGAAAGAGAGAGAAAAAGAGAGAAGAAGAGAGAAATTTCGAGCTCTGGACGAAATTTTGGAGTCCCTAAAAAATGTGGCCGAGATTCCTATTTATAGGCTTCAGACAGGGTCCAGAATAGCCCGTTCTGAAATCGGAACGGCCCGTTCTGGATCTGGCCGTTATGTGTTAATTTAGTGTATTGGAACGGGCCTTCTGAAATCGAAACGGCCCGTTCTGGAGGCGCGTTTAACACATAAAAACCACTCTGGAACGGCCCGTTTCAAATGAAAAATTCAAGCCTTTTTTGTTATTTGGAACGGCCCGTTCCAATTTGGGAACGGCCCGTTCCAAATATGTGTTTTAGCCTTCTTTAAAGAGCCTGGAACGGCCCGTTCCAGTTTAGGGATTTAGGCACTTTTTGTAAATTGGAACGGCCCGTTCCAGTTTTGGAACAGCCCGTTCCGGGCTACTAAAACTAGCTTTTTTTTTTGGCTTTTAGCCTCCTGATGTCATGTCTTGATATTTCCATGATTGGGAACTCATTTTCTTAATAATAGACGTTCATTTCTTCGTTTGTATGCCCCCGGACGAAATTGGGTGTCTACAGTACGTCACAATATAAATAGTAAGAATTGTGTAACAGCCCAATTTTCATAGAATGTACGAGGGTCCAAAAGCCCAATGAGGGTAATTTAGTAATTTACAGGGTGTTTTCCTCATCCTCTAACTGAGGAACTACCAACTCTCTTCGAGCACAATCTATAAGGATGTGATAGGCAGATAACCAATCCATCCCTAAGATTATGTCAACATCTACCATGAACAACACAATCAGGTTCACTCAGAACCTCCTACCAAACACCTCTATCGGGAAATTCACATATATCTCCGACGTCACCAAAGAAATTGAAGTCATGTGATTTAGTGGCTCAGAACGAGCCTTTCCCAAAATGGAACAGGCCGTTCCAAACTATTAAATTTGCCTATGATTCTTAGTTGGGAACGGGCCGTTCCAGATTTCAAAAATGGCTTTTAAAACTTATTGAGAACGGGCCGTTCTAAAATATGATCGTTGAGAGTTTTAATGCAAACCCAGAACGGGCCGTTCTAGTTTGAGAACAGGTCGTTCTGGATGTGAATTTTACTCATGATTTAAGGGTCCAGAACGGGCCGTTCCGGAGACACCTAATGCCTATAAATAGAGCACTCTGACACTCCCAAAAAGCACACTTTCACTTTTCTCTTCTTTTCTTCTTTGCTATCTTCTTTTCCTTCTACACTCTCTGAAGACTGAGGGGCACTCAGAGGAGGATACCAAGGAGATCTCTGTTTTAGTTTCAACTACTGTTTATCCAGGTACGGGGAAAAAAAGGATTATTTGTATGTAGAGTTACATGAGGAAATCGGGTAGAGGAAGAGTCCCTTAAGATTATGAGTAATTTTTTAATTATTTCTGTTTGAGGAATTGTTGATCCCATTAGATTTTATATGTATTGAGGATTAGAAATATATATTTAATTTGTAAGAATGATGATTTGGGAGAAAGAACGAAATTATAGAAAAGTGTTTGTAAGCTAGGTTTTGGAAAAATTGGATTATTTCTATTAGAAGAATTGATGATCCCATTAGATTCTGTATGTGTTGAGGATTAGAAATATGCTAATAATTTGTAAGAATGATGATTTGGGAGAAAGAACGAAATTATAGAAAAGTGCCTGTAAGCTAGGTTTTGGAAAAATTGGATTATTTCTGTTTGAAGAATTGATGATCCCATTAGATTCTGTATGTGTTGAGGATTAGAAATATGCTAATAATTTGTAAGAATGATGATCTGGGAGAGAGAACGAAATTTTAGAAAAGTTCCTGTGAGCGAGGTTTTGGAACAATTGGGGGTTTTACTGTTTATGTTAAAATTATATTAAATTGATAATTTCATTGATTATTATATTAATTTATGAATGTTATTGTTATATTACTTGATAAGAATTGATGATCTAGATGTGAATTGCTTGAGGGGTGTGTAAACCCTTATTTTGTTGGACTTATCTGTTGTGTATGTGATATGGAATTGAACTATGAGATGAGATGTTGTATGGATATGATTATGATTGTGATTGTGGTTCCTCACACTAATGACCATGGATGAGACGAACCTTGAGTAAGTGATGCTACAAGGACGAGCGTGCCCCTG